TTGCCTACAACACGGCCGTGCAAGAGACCACCGGAGTGACACCGTTTCAACTGGTTCATGGTCGCAAAGTAACGACGATGCTGGACGCGATGTTACCCCACGAACCGGCTGTCGACGGAAGCGACGGCGCCCAGGTGATTTCTCAACGGGCAGAAGAAGTCCGTCAGCTCGCCAGACTTCGTATTCAAGCCCAACAACGTGTCGACACTGGCCGCTACAACCTTCGCCGTCGGGACGTCCACTTCCAGCCCGGAGATAGGGTATGGGTGTGGACACCAATACGGCGCCGCGGTCTCAGCAAGAAGCTTCTCAAGCGCTACTTTGGACCCTACAAGGTTCTACGCCGCCTCGGTGACTTAAACTACGAGGTGCTTCCCGACGGAACTCGACCATCAAGACGACGTCAACCGCGACCCGAAGTAGTCCACGTCGTGCGCCTCAAGCCATATTACGACCGATAGAACTTCGGGCTCTCGTAAAACTGTGAACTGTGGCTCGCAATTCTACTGTCCTTTTGTTGTGGATTTTGTGTCTTCGGTTTGTGCTGCATCGGGACGATGCGCTTTTAAAGGGGGGGATAATGCCGCGCGCAGGGTCACGGACTTGTAGAAGATTCTTGTTTATTCTTGCTGCGGACATACCTTCTATCGTTCATCCCTGATTTTGTTGTTCTAGAAAGTGCGTGTTCATTCTCGCCCCGAGCGCGCTACGCTCGAACCTTCTCCGCCGAATCTTCGAGATAGTGACTCACTCTAGATAAGAGGCCACCCGCAACCTTGTCGAGTCAGTTTCGCCCCAGCGTTCGTATCTGCTCTTTCGCCGACTTCGACGCCCGCGACGCTCTACTGTTATCTTTTGTTTCCTTTTTTATTTTGGGCACAAGTTAGCCCGATTAAACGCTTAGTTTACTCAGTTACTTGACGCCTCATCCCTTGTCATTCGTGACAATATCACTGTCTTGGGAAATACTAAGGAAGTACACATTCGTCACTTCCGCGAGATCTTGCGGCGGATTGCCAATGCGGTTCTTCAACTAAACAAGAAGTGCCCTTTTTGGTGTTGAAAAGCTTTCATTTTGGGGCATTGCGTCAGTGCAAGGGGGCTTGCACCACTCAAGTCAAAAGTGGAGGCGATTCTCAATTCACAAGCACAACCTGACTTGATCGGATTGCGTTTCTTTCTCCTATTTCCTTCCACATTATGCAGAGGTGGTGAGCCACTGCGGTGACTTTTCGCAAAAACCACGAGTCTGTCTGGGATCACGAGGCCGATGAGAGTTTCTCCAAAAGACCAAAACGCTGCTCGCCTCATGCTGGGCGGCGTCAATGCTCAACAAATCCCTGCCGGTGCAGGTGACGACTGGTCCATCTGACTACGGGTTAGGAGCCGTGCTTCAGCAACTAGTCGACGGAGAGATATGCACGGTGACATTCGCATCATGAACTTTGACACCGCAGGAACGCAAGTATTCTACGGGAGAACGAGAGGCACCCGTGTGCTTCTGGGCCTGCGAACACTGGTATATTTATCTGTGGGGCAGAACCTTCGTGTTACGAGCGGACCATCAGGCATTAGTGACATATATTTCCACTAATGGTACTGAAGGGCGTCCACCTCGGACCGAGCGGTGGTGCGCCCAGTTGCTGCGGTACAACTTTACTAGGCAGTAGATGGAGGGGGAGAATAACACAGTGGCGGATGCACTATTACGGTTACCCCTACTGTCAACGGAAGGTGAGCCGGTGGAACAGGTCATCGCTGCTGTATCAAAAGTCGTAAAGAAGAGCCAACTGCAAGCAGCAACCGAGACTGATCCAGTGTTGAAGGAAGTGATGCAGTACACTCTCAAGAAAAAAGGGTGTCAAATGGTGTATTCTTACACCCTTTATCCCATATAATACACCCCGAAACTTCAATTCGACATACAACGCCCTACAGTCAAACAGACGGCCCGAAATTTTACGAGAGGCTTGATAGCCGTGTGGTACAACTTATTAAAATAGCTAATGTACGTTTTACTAACTACAAAAAAAAATAATCGGGGTTTTCTTGACCCTACTGTAAAAACCGTCTGTGTTTTCTTTGTGGTCTTTGATACGTACATTAGCTATCTTAATAAGTTGCACCACACGGCTATCAAGCCCCTCGTAAAATTTCGGGCCGTCTGTTCGACTGTAGGGCGCTGTACGTCGAATTGAAGTTTTGGCGTGTATCATATGGGACAAAGGGTGTAAGAATACACCATTTGACACCCTTTTTTCTTGAGAATGTACGTTACATCAAGCTGGCCAGAGATGAAAGCGCTGTCGGGGAAGCCGATGTTATTTTTTCGCGTTCAGGAAGAACTGTTTTTGTCGAGGGAGTCCTCTTTCGTGCAAAGCGGGTGGTACCTCCATCAACGCTTCAATCCATATTCATCATGGTGGCTCACGAATTCCATCCAGGCATCGTAAGAACGAAACAGCAACTGCGGGAACAGTATTGACTTTTCGGGATGGATAACGACGTGGAGAACGCCATCAGGAAATGTGTAGTATGCAAGGCATCGGACAAATCTGCAAATACTGTTGCAGCTCCTCTACAGCACGTAGAGTGGCCCGAAAAAAGCCTGGGAAAAGCTGGGTATGAACATTGTGTGTCCAGTGGAATGGGCAACTCCTGAATGCAGGTTCGCGTTAACCGTACGTGATAGACTATTACAGCAAACGGCCGGAGGTTGTTCTCTTTTTTGTGTGTCGTCAGTAACGTCACAGTCTGTGGTGGTAGTGCTGTTAGAACGTTTTGCACGGGAAGGCTATCTAAAGAGCATCGTGATTGACAATGGGCGTCAGTTTGTGTCATGGTATATTGAAGAATTCCTACAGGGCAGAGTGATTGAGCACTGCTTGGCTACTTTATACTTCCCGCAATCCAAGGATCAGATCAGTTTAATCGTGTTCTCAAGGAGTGTATACAGGTTGCAGCACTGGAGCGAAGACCCCACAAGGAAGCCATCTTGGAGCACCTCAGCATCTACAGAGCCACCCCCCATGCAGCAACAGGCATGTCTCCGACATATCTGCTACATGAAATGATACCGCGTACCAGGCTGGACGTGGTCGGGCTTTCCGAGAGTGGATTCTTCGACAAGCCATAGGCGCACATCGCAAAGCTGCACTGTCGGGTCTTGGAGCAGCAACAACGCACCAAGACTTATACTGATACAAGACGAGCTGCCAGGAAGTCCACCATTGAGCCCGAAGATTTTGTGAAGATAAGAATATGAAGGTGAGAAGACGTTTTGGCGAAATTTCGTTTCTCCTCGGAAATGGAATGAAATGGAACGCGGCAAAGCTGACACTGGTTGTTAAACAGGGGCACAAGGAAGTCGGGAACTGGATGAGAACAGTAAGGTGCGACCTGAGGCAGTTGTCAGAGCTTTATCCAATCTCGGTTTTTCCACTGAAATGGACATTGAAGAAAGGACGCTGCCACCGACGTCATCAGCTGGTCACACTATATCGCCTTCTCATGTGGGCCTGACGCAGAGAGCGGTAAGGGAGCATCGGACGTCGCAAGTAAGGAGCATGAGGCTCCATCTCCACCACGGAGTCAGCATCGGCCCCCGAGCAAGTCGAGCAGGACGCCGCCCCATCCTACCAGCCGACCCCAGCGGACAAAAAGAATGGCGCTAAGATATGAAGACTACGTCCTGAGTTGATTGCAAATATTTAATGAAGACGTTCCATGCTGCTTTGTTAACACTAATAGTCTGGTTGTTTCATTTTTTTAGCTGTGTACCTAACTATTGAGTTTTTCTTGTAAGGGGAGAAATATATTCTATACAGGACCGCTGTGCATCATGCCAACATATATATAAGCACATCATCATCGGAGTCAAGAGTATTCAGCGTCTACCCTCGCACATGTCGTTACTTGCCCGGCCGGCCGGGCTTCGTCATCGCCAGGCGGCACCGCAACAACGTTACGGGCGAGCTAGGCCAGAGGGCGTACAGTCCTCGGATATTACTACTAGAGGAGATTGTCAAGCGTTGACGCCACCAAGCGGCAACTCTCGCAACTACAGTACTTTGGCCGTGCAGGAACTCTTGGACGTCACGAGCGCGATACGCATTGCGCTTCTTGCTGGCCGACTTTGAAGCGAGAAGTAGAGCTCGCGGTTACGTCATTTCGTTTCCGTACAATTTTTAAAGTGAACAAGAACGCGTTCACATATTCGAGTCTCAGAACACAGTTCACTGCATTTGCACCCAAAACACGGCAGGGCAATCCTGAAATGTTCCGTTCGCACGCCGATTTGTAGGTGCCCTAACTCTGTAGTTTCACCATTCGTCGAGCAATTCAAGATTGGCAGCGATACGTTCATTTTCTCGCTAAATTTAGGGGGGGGGGGGGGGGGGGAGGGGTTAAATTAGTGTTTAGGTCACGTCGCATCAATCTCCCCGCCAAATTTAGATGGGAAACTAAATGGGTGTATCGGTCACGTGGTGTGAGGTTGTGACGTCAATTTCCCCGCTAAATTTAGCGGGAAAACTGAATTAGCGTGTATATAGGCCAACGCGCTGTTTACAAACAAGCCCCGACGAGGTGTGGGAAAACGCGTAATTTCCGCACGAGGTGTAGGCACTGTGCGCGCGCAGGAACCGGAGCTGCGTCAAGTGGAGCTTCTGCGCATGCGCCCGGCCAATAGCAGCTCCACCGCAGCGGCCCCACGTCAGGGCCGCGTGCTGGTGTATAGAGCTGGTTACAGGTCACGTGACTATCAATTCTCCCGCTCAATGTAGCTGTGAAACTGAATTGTTGTTTAGGTCACGTGACGTCAATTTTCCCCCGGCTAAATTTAGCGGGAAGTGCAAGGACGGACGGACAAAAATATTGAGATTTAGGCTTGGGGGAAAGGGGGGGGGGGTTGTTAAAAATAATTGTATGCTTTAAAAAATCTTGTATGGTGCATGCGACGGGCGAGTAACCTTTAACCTATAATCCGCTCTCTGTTTCAGGTTGCTGTAGGCCTCATCCAGGTAATCAAAAACATGGGCACGCTGGCCTTCAAGGTGTTTGTCAACCGAATCAGCGGTGGTGAATCGTCGTTCTATTCCGCAGAAGACTTTGTTCGTGACCTGCCCCTTTTCAAATTTTCGGGAAAATCAGCGTAACGGCGTAGTGTGAGAATGGGATTATTAAAATAAATGTATACACGAACTCGTCTCTGTTACGTCACGGCGCGGTGGTGGCGCGTCGGTCGCACTTCCGGTCTGGGGCTGTGGGCAGAAGTCCCTATGCGAGACGTGTCTTCTGCGTTGTTTTGAAAGGAACCAGACAAAAACCTGCCTTCTCGTCAAAATGCCGCGACTAGGGCTGTACCAAAAAAGTCAAGAAAGGTTTGGAGGCCAGTTTTAATGTACTCGGTTCGTCCGAGAAGCTGGATATGTGCCGTGCAAAAGGGAAAACCAGACGCCGTCGGTCCACAATTGCTTGGGAGGGAAGCACTTTGAATTGAATTCACAGATAATTCTGGTCATCAGATTTATTAGTTTTGTTCCAACATGAACGGCGGAAAACCGCGAAGTTGTACGGACCACCTGCGGACTACGTTCAGTGCGTCTTCAAGTTCAAACGGCCGCTTGACTGTTCGAACTGTCGTCTGCTCTTTCAAACGTTTCTGCTTGTCGTCTGCTCTTTTAGACGACACCGGCCCGTAGACCAAACGTGGGCCCGGTTCTTTCGATAAGAAGTAAGTGCAGGCCTCAAAAGACTCAAGTTTGAAAGTTGGTAAGCAGGCTCGATGTAAACAGTAGATACAAGGATGTATTGATAATTCTTACTAGTGGCCACCATCGACTTGTTATGCCTGATTCACTTGACCCGATTCTGCTTGAGATATTAAGCATCGAATTCGACCATGTCAGCTACGGTTCACGCTTTTGCAGCCCGATCGACGTCCCGACTGAAAATTGCGAGCGAAATCTCATCATGAGAATCAGGCTTTAGCGTACATTCTGTGGCGTCTACGCGGAATGAATCGCCGCATGTCACATTATTCACGCGAAGTTTTGGGGTGTAACGAGCCTCGGTAATTTCGCTGAGGCCGCTGAAGTAGTCAGATCTTGCCAGGAAGACGTAGAATCAACAATTCGAACGCGAAAAAGGTCGGGGGACTCACACCGACGCCGACAACATCGCATTTCAATGGTTTGTTTATAGGCGACGGCGAGCTTCTTGCCCACACCCCCGCATGCGCGGCGCCGGTGCTGTCCGCTAGGGGCGCTCCGGTTTGTTTTTAAACATGAGTTGGTGTATATTCCGGTCTTATTTCGGTTATGTAAAAGGGGCTCACTCTGATATATCGTGGGTATGACTTTGTTTACTGCCTCTGCGTGTTCCTAATACAATGCGGCGACGTTAAAAATAGTCGCTGGTCTTCCTTTTTAGGTTTAGAACAGCTTTTCATTTTATTTCGTTTCATTAATTTTTTTCTGAGGTCCCGAAGGCATTACATAGAGAAGTCGGCACTGTATAACATAAACATAAAAGTTAAAAAAGAGAAAAAATTACAAAATTACCGTAATATCCCGAGTCATCGCCGATCCCCGAGTCATCGCCCACCAAAGTTTTGGGGGGAATATTGATTTCTAAAAAAGAACCGAGTGATCACCCACCTTTCCAAATACCCCAATCCGACCTTCGCGATCCGCGAACATTCATCTCACCCGAATGACGCGGCCGCGGATTTTACAGTTGGAGGACGTTCGTGATAAAGTAAAACGAAGAAAGGAAAGACTCTTCACTTTGTTTACGCATATCCTCCCCGATTTCTGTGACCCCAAAGTCGGAGTACATGCGCGCGAAAAGAAAATGAAAAAGATAACAAAAAAATAACTTTCCATTGCTTAAAAAAAAAATCGTTAAAAAAGAAAAAACTGAATTGTTGCTGTTGATACGCTGATTCTCGAAGAAATGCGTGAGCATTTCGCGCAGTGGTTATACTATATAACAAAGAATGGTAAAAGCAGCCTCTCAGCACTTTTCCGCGGGGTAAACGTTCCCGAAACACCTTTTCTCCCTGGTGCATGCAGATCATTTCATTTAGCGTGTGCATGAAGGACGGCGTCCGCACAGAATAGACCATATGCAAAATAGTTCAAACGTCTGGTAACACTCTGTGTGCTGCTATCTTTGTTGCTTCGAGATTCCTCTGTTGTTTGTCGATTTCGTAGCATTGTCGGTAACAATCGAGGCCTACTTCTCACCGTCATCGACTCTAACCCACACCTGCGAGCCAAGGTATTGTTTTCGCGCTCTTTCTTGGTTTCTCGCCGCAACCACCATGGCGGACGTACACTTTAGCTAGAAATTTGGCTTTGAGTGCCGGCAAAGGCACTGGCGCGGGCGCCTGGTTCTCGAGCGTGCTTTTTCTGCGCGAGTGCTGGTGCGTGCGGATAGTTCTTCAGAACTATACGCTTTCGCGCCATGGCCTTAATTTTGCCAGTGCCCAAGCCAACTGGTGAGACAGAGCATGTTCTTCGGAACCCCACTAGATGGCGCTGTGCATTTCGCACATGGTGGGAAGAATGCAACAGAATGGAGGGAACGAGAAAGGGAGGTGGAATTGGAGCATTTATTAAGAAGAACATGAACTTTCAAAGGATCAGAAAGGAGTGCGCCGAACATTTGTGACTGAAAGGAAAAGTCGCTGGGGAATCAACAGTCCTTGGAGTTGTTCAGTTATGGGCAGGGACAGGTGCTAAAGGGGAAAACAGAAAAGTGATTAATTGCATATCAAGGGACATTAGTGAGCTAGGGGAAGGCTCTGAAATAATTATTATGGGAGACATGAATGCCCATATTGAGGGTCTAGATGGGTATACGGACTCAACTGGAAGCATATTACTAGAACTGGTGGAAAAGCATGACTTAGTTCTATGTAATACCAGTCAGAAGTGTGACGGGTACATAACGTGAGAAACTGGCAATCTACATTCAACTATAGATTATGTACTCATGTCTCACAAAATATAAGTTACAGGTAATGAAAATAGATGAAGAAAGTTCCAAAAGTCTTGGTAGCGATCACAAACGTATTAAGCAGAATTTTGCCAGAGAAGTAAATGCTGAAACTAGACAACATAATTCAAAGCAAACTTTCTGCAGCGACAAAGAGTTGGAAATAGTTGCTGAAAGAATAGAGGAAGCAGTTTCAGGGCAACGGTATACAGATTGGACCTATGAGAGCCCAACTAGGCTTTTTGCTCTGGAACTAGACAAAGTTCAGAGTAAACGAAAGGGGAAGCAAGGACATAGACCAAAAAGCTGGTGGGACAAAGAAGTGAAGCAAGCGATGCAAAAACGTCAGGAAGCCTCTAGAGAACACAAGCATTCCAAGCGTAGTGGGGAATCAGAAACGGAAGTAAAAAGAAAATGGGACACTTTTATAACATGTCGCCGAGAGGTATCCAGTTCGATCAATCCGAAACTTCAGAGAAAGGGTGAAGAATGGGAAAGTAATGTAAGCAAAAAAGATAGAAATGTAGCCAAGAAGTTTTGGGAGCACTTGAACTCGCTTGGTGAAACGACGCAAGCTAAACAGAGGTTCATACTCTCGCATCAGGAAGATCAATTAAAGGGAGATGATGCGATACGACATATAGGAGCAGTGATGGGGGAGAAATTTCGGGAACGGGTGCATGTGGAAGATGGGAGAACCGAAGGAAGTAGCAGTCCGGCTTGTGACATCGCGGATTTTGGACAAAGAGAATGGTGGGAAGAATGCAACAGAATGGAGGGAACGAGAAAGGGAGGTGGAATTGGAGCATTTATTAAGAAGAACATGAACTTTCAAAGGATCAGAAAGGAGTGCGCCGAACATTTGTGGCTGAAAGGAAAAGTCGCTGGGGAATCAACAGTCCTTGGAGTTGTTTACTTATGGGCAGGGACAGGTGCTAAAGAGGAAAACAGGAAAGTTTTCCTGCTTGCCGTGCGAAACTATCTGGCGTGCGTTCAACGTGCCAGAGAGTTTCGCACGGCAGACGGACTGTCGGAAACGCCTAGCCAATGACAGCACAGCTAGCGCGAACGTCATGATGATGTACTGGGTCTGGCGGGACGAAGCGAACGCGATAACGGGACGGGCGAGGGGAAGCCGGACGTGTGAATCCCGCTGACCCATTCGAGAAAAATGGTCCCAGCAAAGATTGCACACGCTATTGAGAACGAGCTCGTAATTTCGCTCGTGCGAGCTGAACCGTCAATCTGGGACCAGAGATGACCTCCGGAGTCCGCTGGAACGCTTGGATCTCCTGGGTCTTGGGCGAAGCCGAACGGATCGTCGTGTCGCATGTAAGGTCGGAAACGTGTGTCTCAAACTGGCGCGTGCGGCAATTCGGAGCGGCGTTCGGACTGTCGGTTCGGACGTCGGATCGGACGATTCTGCCGTCCATGTGTCTCGCGCTTTAGTCTGGGGCTCCACTGAAGAGCAGCATAACGCACGGCTTCGAGACACGCTGCAGGCTGCGAAGCACGCCGGCTTGACGTTCAATGCCAGCAAGTGTACGTTCGGTGCGACAGACCTTTCATTTTTGGGTGGCATTGACAGTCAAGACGGAATAACTTCAAGCCCTAGCTTAATCAGCTGCCTACATGAAATGCCGACACCGACGGATAAGGTAGCGGTGCACAGGATGCTCGGCGTAATCAACTACTTTGGCAAGTATTTAGAACACCTCGCGACAAAGACCTTGCTCTCGCGGGAACTGATTAAGCATGACACGGTGTTCCAATGGACACTGACCAGCACGCAAAAGAATGGACCGCCTTATGCGACGCTCTCATTACTGCACCGCTTCTCGTTATCTTTGATCCATCAAAAGCAACGCAGTTATCGTGTGACGCGTCATACCACGCAGTCGGGGCGGCAATGTTGCGAAATCATGGCGGCAACTGGCGCCCTGTTGCTGACGTATCCAGAGTCTTGACAGGGGCGGTCTCGAAAAGGAAGCGCTCGGTATTACGTTCGGCTGTGAAAAATCCCATGACTTCGTATACGGTCAGAAGATAACTATCGAGACGGACCACAGCCCGTTCATTGCGATTGCGTCGAAAGGAATCGGAGACATGCCACCGCAATTACAAAGGTTTTTCTTGCGGTTATTGAAGTACGATTACTGTCTGCAGTTCATCGCAGGGAAGCAACTGGTACTGGCCGA